CGGCCCCGGGCCTAGTGGCTGACACGCCAAACTATGAGACTCCAGGTCCCTGATACCCTGGCTGCAGCCCTCTGGGTCCAAGGGGTCACCCCAGCCAAAGCCACCTTTTCGCGGCGGATCTCGACTGGGTTCCCGCCTCTCGGTCTCCCAGAAAGGGAGGGGACACCGACGTCGGGGTCGACTCTTTGGTTCGACTTCACTCCACCAGGCTCCAACACGGCAGGTACCCCCAGCTTCACCCACGGCGCCTTGTTGGCCGGCTATGGCCTGACCTGCGTGTCCCTCACTGGTGCCTCCCCAACAGCCTGCGAGTCCCCCGCCTGCAGCTCATCAGCCAGCTGTGGCCTGGTCGCCGACTCCTTGTCGGTTGCCTACGAGTCCTCTGACTACGACTTGTTGGTCACCTGCTCCTGGACCGGCTATGGCTGTACCCCCGCCTACCTTGGGTACAGTTCCCTCCTCTCCTCCGCCAATGTCCCCTTCAGCTCCCTCCTCGCCATCTCCACCAGCCCCTTTACCTGCCCCATTGCCTTCATCCTTATCCCCTTCAGCCCCGGCTCCGGTCTTGCAGTCGCCTGCATCCCCTCCAATTTCCTCCTCGCCTCTCCTAGTTCCCCTTTCGACTCCCTCCTCACCACCCTCGGCATCCCCATCAGCCCCTGTTCTCCAGTGCACCCCACCTTACGCCTGCCGAGGGTCCCTTCAGCTCCCCGTTGCCCCTTGCCCTTGACCCCCTTGTTTCCTGTGTCCATGCCCCATCCTGCTCCACCGTTGTTTCTTCCCAATGCATTTGTGTCCCCTGTGCTCACTCCCCATCCTGCTACTCCATCATTCCCCTTTAGTTTCTATGTGTCCCCTGTGTTCGCTCCTCATCCCTCCATGCCTTTGTTTCCTTCTGGCCCCTCTGTGCTCCCTGTGTCTCCCCCTTGTCTTTCAATTCATTCCAATTTTCAGGGATAAAATGTCCCCCCTCACACCTCAGATGCAACCACTTCCACCACAATGGTTAAGAAGGGTCTGTTTTTTTTTCAAGATAGGTACAAAAGAAAACAAATTCTTCAATAACTGAATGGAAGCATAAGCAGGATCATCCCATGACAATTTGTTAGAGTTTTGATGAGTTAAGCTAGTGGAATAGCCAATGAAGTTAAATTCCTGACAAAGTGTATATGTTCATGGAGACTCTTCAGGAATTGACATTCAGGTGGACTAGTTAAATAAATACGGAGGCCACCAATGTACTTGATCAAAAACTGGTGTAGCATATCCTAAAAAATTTCATTCATGAACAGTAGAAAAAAATGAAGGTACATTCACCATTCCATAAGGCATAATTAAATATTCTTGTGCCCTTTAATGGTAATAAAAGCTGTCTTACACTCACTCCAATTAGAATTCCAATTAGATAATACATGCTGTGTAGGTCAAGCTTAGTGAAAACAGTTGTTTGGCAGATCTTTTCTAGAGGGCTGGGATCAGTGGTAGCACATAACAGAATTTGGTGTTAATTGGTGATTACAAAGAAAAGGCTCCCTACAGAGACCTCCACCATCGGAAATGAATACTTAAGCCTCTAGGGTTGTTTTGTTGTGCAAAACATATATCCATGTACTTGCTAAGAACAGGGCAAAGGATAACCCAAACTTCCCTACAGCTCAGTCAGCTACTGTCTGTTTTTTCTGAATTTCTATGTACAACATGGAGTTCATACACTGCAGCTTGACCAAAGTGTCAGTTTCTGAAATGTTCAACAGACTGCACCTGACAAAACTACCTGTTTGCAGCTCAGATTGACATTAGATGCCAGATGTAAAGTTTCCGCTCTGTTTTGCCTAGCATCACAAATCATGAGCAGACACCATGGCTAATGAGTGCATGTTTTTCCATCCATAGTTATGCCTGGTTTGTGACCTTCCTACAGACTTCCATGACAGATCACCATAGCCACTGTTCCTTGTAAAACCTCAGCAAGTTGAGCGGTTTGTCATTGAAGCTCCTGACAAATGTATCCCTAACTCAAAGTCACTAGGATCTCTTCTTCTAGACATGGTTGCCAAAATAATGAACACCTGGACCCAGGGTTTTTAGACATGACCTAAACTTGACAGGACATGAGCTGGTTAAGTAATTTCCAATGACACCTAAGTTGCAGAATCTGCATTTAATATCAGTTCTACCCCTCATTTCCTTTGCTTCCTCTAGATTGGCAGTTGTCTATACAATGTATAAATGTTCTAAACAATGGAAAAGAGGCTAAATTCAGCTTAATCTCAACATAAAACATTAATATTCACCTATATTGTTTTTTTCACTGTGAGACTTTTACCGGCAATGGATACAAGAGAAATTACAAACCGGACAGAATGCTGTCAGCATGACAATAATGTATATTCCCTAGACAGCCCCATCTCCTCTCCCCAATCTAATCCTTACTCCTCCCACACCCCCAACCTCTGCGATTTCTAGAAATACTGGATGGACCAAGTGGAAATGGAAAAACAATAAATGTGTTTTTATCTGAATGTTCTGAGACCTATCAGTGACACATAACTCTGAAACTGCAGCCATTCATTTTTTGCGCATTCCACTTACATGCCAATTTCTTTATTCTTTAACTCATGTTGTTTGGATAATTGTGCATTTTGTATGTGTTGTATATATGCCTGAATTGTTTGATTTGAATGTTTGGTAGTGCTTTACATTAACTGCACCTTCATAAAGAATTCATTATGCATTAATATAACATTCAGTGCACTGTTATAATACATTCATAATGCATTTATAGAACACTCATAGTCAGCATGTATCTATACTGTACCTTAACATCCTAAAATACCTTAACAGCTTTAATATACATTAATATTAATATATTACGGCTGTTAAGGTATGTTAGGATATTAAGGTATATTTACATGTTTCTTATGAATGCTCTATAAATGCATTATATAGGGGCACTGAATTTTCAATTAATGCATTATTAAGGCATCATGAAGGTACAGTTAATGTAAAGTGTTACTGAATTTTTAAGCTGTGGAGCAGAGGGGTAAATCAAGAAAAAATGTGTCTTTGTCCCAAGCATTGTGTAGGGCACTATATATGCTTCATACATCTAAAGTATTTACTTTCAATTTGTTACTCTATCATTTGCAGAATGACCAACATTTTCTGTGACATAACAGTAAGAACTGTAACAGACACAACAATGGTATAAATGGTCATATAGACACACACATAGAGACCCCCACAGTTGTAGATCATCTGTTACTGCTAACTAAACTGCTAGCACAAAGGTATTTAAGAGATCTTTTCCAAATTTGGTAGGCACATTGTCTGAGTGAAATTTTGAGACAGATCCACCAAAATTGAAGTATAGCAGCACATAGTGATTATGGATGACCACACAATTCCTGTATCCCTGTTGTCAAATTATCATCTTTAATTTATATTGATGGTCACTGCATTGTAACTGAGAAATCAGTTTCTAAAATGCTAAGGTTGTCACGTCAGCGAGGGCGGAGCCAGACAGGTGCAGCCACTCAGGAGGCAATTAACCTCCTGATATAAGGAGATTCAGAAACAGGACAGTGCGAAGTATTGCGCTCATGTTCCGTGGCCATACCAAACAATTCTCCTGTTTCCTGTCTACCCGATCTCCCTTACCTGACCTGTTTGCCTCCTGTCGGTTCCTTACCTCTTCTCCTTCCTCCCACAGCCCAGATCCCGAACCTGACCCGCCTGTCCCGTCGAGCCCGGCTCCTCGTGCCTTCCCTCACCTGTGTGGTCTTGTCTTGTCTTTCTTCGTCGGACGGATTCTCCTGGTAACGACCTACTCTTCTGATCCAAGACCACGAGTACTGCTAGCCTCTCCTCGGACACTCGAGCACCCTTACCTGTGCAGGGGCTTCGCCCTGAGCATTACTCCCTACCCAGGTCCACCGAGGGAAGATTCGGTGGACTTTACCTCCTGCTCTGTTTACTGGTGTGGCACTCTGTCCTTGAGACGCCCATTAAATCTTTGTCCTGCCTGCATTCCTGGATCCTGGTCTCTGTTCCCTTTCTATCGTGACAAAGGTCTTTATTAAATTGATTATTTTTACATAGTGATATTAGCTGTATATCAAAATTTGTCTCAACTTTTATGCAACAAAAAATTAGGTATCATAAATTGTGCGTGTCCTGCGAAGGACTAATGGCATCCAGGTAGTTCTCTTGATGAAGTCCTATCCCACTTGAGACCAACCCATCACCCATATCATAAGAATATGCGTTAGGATTTTAGTTTTGAAGACATAAATTATAGCAATTTACAGTAATAGTTTGGACACACCCACAGAAAGGTTAATTTTTTTTAGCATTCTCTGCATTTTAGAATAATTATAAAGACAACAAAACTATAAAATAACATAAGGAATTATGTACTGACCAAAAAAAAGTGTTAAAAAATGTATTTGATGGAGAGGGGGCAGCTCTGTGGGTTGGGACTGAGAGTTGCTGGTTCAAATCTCTGGGTTAGCAGAGTGATCCCACCTTTGGGCCCCTGAGCAAAGGCCTTAAACCCCAATTACTCTAGAGACTGGCTGGCCCTACAGTCTCCTACATGCCAGTTTCATGAGGTGGCCTCCTGGGATGCTTTTCCAGCTGTCTTGAAGGAGGTCACACATACATGCTGAGCTCACATAGGCTGCTTTTCCTTCACACTCTGGTCAAACTCCTCCAAAACCCTTTCTACGGTGCTTAGGTCAGATGGCCAGGTCTCATTTGTAGGTGGCTTGGCATGCCGCAACTTTTGACTGGTACTGTATATTGTCCTCCAAAACCCTTTCTACTGTGCTTAGGTCAGATGGTCAGGTCTCATTTGTAGGCGGCTTGGCATGCCGCAACTTTTGACTGGTACTGTATATTGCTAAATATTCACCAATTTAAGCATTTATGTGGAAAAAAAAGACTACTGACATATTTTAAGTTTAATTTTTTACAAAGGAAGGCACAAATAAAGCTCATTGACTTATCAAATGACATAAAGTATTTATTATTGTCCATGTTACTTGTTTTCTCTCGTGACAGCTCATCCATTACTAACCCAAGCAGCAAGCAGCTTAATACAGTTAAATGGTTTGTATGATTATATTTAGGTATAAATGTGTGGAAATATTTTACAGGGGTACTAGTATAGAATCAAAGATGTTCAGAACACAACAATGCAAGAACATCTACGTATATCTGCAACAAGTATCCATGTCCGGGCAGTATTGTAGGGCACAATACTGCCCTACTTTACAGGAATTTCATTAGAAAATTCATACTTCATATGCATTGCACAATTCAGTAAAATACACAATTATGAAATATTTATTTTGCCAAGTTCAACAAGACTGTTAAAATTTAGGAATGAAATGCATTGCAAGTCTAAAAAATTAAGTGGGCTTGGTTTGAGAGAACCAGTGAAACATTACAGTAATTGTACAGTTTTAACATCAGCAAATACAGCAGCAAATCAACAATATGTTCAATACTACTTGCATAAAAAGAAGTTTCATATCAATCTCAAAAGCTTGGTAGTAAATTATATGTAGAGATTAACATCAGACACCTGAAGAGCAGCAGGCAGGCAGGCCTACATGCGTGTGCACTCGCGTCAATGTCATGACACCAGCACTGTGAACTTCAGTGCTGATATTTAATCAGAATAACAATATTTAATACCTTTTGATACCATGCTTGGGGGAATAATGGTTCCACATGCAAAACCCAGAATATTCCTAATATACCTCAAATGAATGTGTAAATAAATATAGCATGAAATGAAAGCATTTCTGTTACCACTAATACTACACTATTTATCTTAAAATGGCACTGTATTTTGCATGCTAGCACACAATAGCTGCATTGGAGGCGTTATCAAATCGTTGTACTTCTGTTGGCAGCTGGCTAACACAAAGTCAGAAAGTAACTTCTTCCCCAAATTAGTGCAATTTGGTCATTCCTAACATGTTGCAGATACTTATGTGCGCTAAAAATTTTAGTCAATTTTATATCCGCAGGAATTCCTTTGCAGAGTATGGATGCCCTTGTGCCAAAGATTAGTTAAGTTTTCAAATATTCTCTGCTTTGGCTTCTTTTTGGCATCTTATTTCGAGACCCTCTAGTTTATACATCTGCAATTACTTTTGTTTGGATGAAAAATACACAAAATGACACCCACTATTCTCCCCAACAACCTGACTACCTTCCATTTTGCTGGCCATCTGACATATTGGGAATGAAATGTATTGTTCTTAATAAATAAATAGACAAATAAATAAACAAACAAACAAATAAATAAAAACCTTCTATTGCCAGTTGCCCCAAAGGACCCTGAACAAGGACCTCAATGAATATTTCTTTCAAACTGCATGAGAATGCAACTGGTCAAGCTTCAGAACTACTGATGTGAAATAAATTAAAATTTACAAACAATAATCTGAACAAGTTTGGTATTATGTACTATCAAAGAACAGGTACACAATGTGACCTTAGCATACAGACACACACCCATTCACACGTACATAGACAGTAACCTTTTTTGTGAAACAGTTTTCCATCAGAAAGGGCTGTAATGTTGAATGCACAGATCTGCAGGCTGCAGCAGGAGGGAGTATGAGAGCGCAACAGAGGTATAATGAACAGATTTAGCCCTCGATGTTTGTTTCCATCTCACTTTAGTCTTCCCCAGCTTTCATCCCTCTGATGCAGCCCTCATTACGCATCTAGAACGAGAGAGAAAAGCATTAAAATTATTAGGTTCTCTCAACCAAATGTAAAAGCCTAGGGTGATTTGTCATGTATCACTAAAGCAAACGGAGCATACAGCTCTACATCAGAACAGCTCATACTATACAAATGATTTGTGTCTGTTGGCCTAGGGCATGTCTTTCTTTGACATAGCATCTTTTATAAAAATGTTTTCCGTTTCATTCTACCGTTCATCAAACAGCCTATGCTCAGACATGATACGTCACTAAAAGCTGAGATGTTACCAGGTTGCAACAGGATAATTATTGCTGTTTTTACAACTCAGTGGCAGTAATTTTTCTATAATATGAGTGTGTGCGCCCTACATTGGAGAAAAAGCAGCACAATTGTTTCTCAGCACAAAAGCCCCTATAAATGAATTAAATATTCATTGATCACTGTACCTGGTCCAGCTCTCTTTGTGTCTCATCCTCCATTCTCCTGATGTCATCCATGGACAGGTCAATCCATCGTTCCAGCCAGCAAAACAGCTGTCTGTGAAAGTTAGTGAACAGCCTCTTCTCCTGCTACTCAAACAAGAACAAAGCAATAAGGACTGTATTAATATCTCAGCCTGCAGGGCATAATATAATCTCTACATTATATTTCACATATTTCCCTACAATTCAAATATCCACATCAATGGTGTTGTCTCCAACAATTAATGCAACATTTACTGTAACTATATAGCATACTGGAAAAATTTAGACTGCCACTGATTAACTTTCACTATTTCCATAAACTGCATTTGATAGAACAGGTTTTAAGAAGGTTATTGGTGAAATGGCAAACTGGTCTAAAACAGATAAAACATTTTCACCTTGTGGATGAACTTCTCCACTCTCCCTTGCAGACCCCACCAGCGGAAATGAACAGTAACCAGTTTATAGGCTGTCATATAGGGACAGGTGCTGTTGTGCAGCTCCTTCTACAGAGAGAAACAGGACAAAGAGATACATATGACAGACATGTCACTTAGTGTCTTTGTTACATTTCAGAATGCTCTCTTTAGCTTAGCAATTTTCTGACAGTGATGTACAGCATCGAAAGCTATAGAGTTTGTGCTGGGCAATAGAAGCAATATTTCAACTTATTGTAGTACAAAATTTAAATAAGAGGTATCCCACTTCTCCCAGAACTTCTGGGAGTCTCCCGCAAATTGACAACAGCTCCCTGACACCTGAAAATGACATGCAATGTCCTGGAAATCTGCTGCCATGCTGTTCAGTGGCAGCTAAATTATCCGGAAAGAAGTTTTACTGTTGCAACCCTAGCCAGCACTAGGCTTGAGCAGCATCTAATTTTAATACTGCCATACCATCCAGACATCATACCGCAGTATGCAAGATTTGATAGTATTTTAAAAAGAATGGATTTTTGAGTGGGGTGGGGGGTGGCACAACTTAATAATATAAAAGCAAATGTCTGTTTATAACAGGGACAAAGAAAGCCAAGTTCACTATTGAGAGGACGCCACCGGTTCCTATGTCCGTGTTTTAAAAGCAATACTATTCCAACATCTCATGATAAAATCTGCCAGGGGTTTCACAGGAAAGAACGCAATTCCAACCAATCATAAGGAAGTTTTAAGACAAAGCAACAAACAAACATAAAACAAGGCTGATGGAATTAGCAGAGCCAGCACCATGTGGCAGTTTTGGTAACATCATGGAAGAAATTGGTGAAGAAAGTGACAGCTGAGCAGCCACAACATCTTTTAAAAAAAAACAAAAAAAAAAAACAGGGGTATCGTTGATAAAGTAAAAAGACGTTGGTGGTGTAACGGTACTTTTTGCAATTTAAAAGGACCTCATTAAGCTTTTCTGACTTTCCCCTTTCCTTTAGTGTTTTATATAGCTTTATGTGCATGTACACACTCTGCAAAGTTTTAAGGCCCTAAGAACACTCCAAAGGGTGTAACTCTCACCACAGAAACCACTCTTCTATAATCTGCCTGAAACGCCTCAGTGGAATTCCAACCCTTACTTCTATGACACGATGAGGTCACCTCGTAACACAATCCTTATTGGCTGCTTATCTGCAAGGATCTGTCTGCAGACTGCAAGACAGAGGCAGAATGTGTAGGGAAAACTCAATCAGAGCATACCAGGTTCATCGGGGATGGGGTTTTAAGCTCTAACAAATGAGCTACAGGAACCCTCTTGTGATAATTTTGATACTGACCGATGGGGGAAAAAATATTGTGATAAAATATTTTGCCATATCACCCAGCCCCAGTACAGGGTTTAACTCTTTCGGTAATTACCTTGTAACCTTTGGAAAAAGTCAATACTGTAAAGAAACTATAACAACTCTTTCATTATATCACTGCTATACAGTACATCTGCCAATCATTGTCATTTTTCCTGTACTGATTTCCTTACAAATGACACAGAAATACCAAATTATTTGCTTAAATAGGGATACCTTCCAGCCAGGCCCCAGTGGTCCTCTGCCTGTTTTCTCAGAATGGAATAGGGCTGGATCTTCTTCTTCCTTGTAATCCTGAGAAACAGAAGAGGGAAAGTCAGAGAAAAAAAAGTTTTCTAATGTTATACCCTATGTATTTATGTATGATTTATTTACTGAAACTGGATTTCAGTTTGCAGTCCGATCAATTTGTGACATTTTTCCATGTTTTGAATCTGGGCAATTCTAAGAAAATTTTAAGCAATGTTGCAGCCCCGATGTAACAAAATAATGACTTGAATTATATTTATATTACATTTTATTTTTTTAGCAGATTAACCCCCAGATTAACATGTAATTGAGAAAGCAGGATCAGACAATCTCTGGATTAACTGAAGGTTAAGAGCCTTGTTCAGGGCCCAAAGCTGAAATCACCCCACAGGATTTGATTTAGCATCCTAACCCACTGAGATACACACCACACAATTAATATGAATAAAAAAATTACACAGAATAAATGACTCCCTGATACTGAGAGAGCATCCATTTATAACTCTGGAGTGATACTTACAACATCTTCAACTTGGGATCGATCTGCAATATCAATGGGCACCACCTCAGTCTCCTCCCACTCTTCAGGCGACAGACCATGAGGCTGCAAGAGAAGTTGTGCCATTGCCACTTTTTCTTGACTAAACAGGATCTAAACAATGGAATTACAGACCGAGACGGACATCACGGCTAGCACTCACATTGTCACTTGTTCCCAAGTCAGGTTTATGCCAAGTCTCTATCTTAATGAAAAAGTCATCCTTCATGTATTCATTCTGCGAAGACAAATTACACTACCACTGTAATCCCCATTTCACCCTTAAAACTACAGAAAGACAAAATCAATACACAAGGCATCAGAGAAACTAAATGTTCACTCACCGTCACAACTGCATATTTATCATGACATCCGGAGATGGATTGAAGGCCAAGCCACAAAAAAAGGAACAAATCACTGAAAATATTCAGGGTACATGCTATATATACAAAATATGCACTTCTTCTGGAACATGTATTATCTGCATTTGCTCAGTACAAATTACAGTAAAAGAGTTCTAAGGGATTAGATTTGGTGTAGAGTGTAGTAAATTCGAGTGTAGAAATATTATTGCATTTTGAATGTGTGAAATGAGCAAGTAAATTGACTTGATTTCCACTATGGACTGTGAAAATAAATTGACAGGCTTTGAAAACTGACTTGTGCGACAGTAAGGATAGGAATTCCAAGCCTTCTCGTGAAAGACCAAAGCTCCCTCTGGGGCAAACATCTGGATGAAACTTGGCACCTTACTGCAAGAGAATCAAAAGAGCAATAAATGCAATGCAATGTACAGCAAATTCTCATTAACTAGGAAGAGACTAAATCGCAGCTCTGCTTTCAGTAGAAACAGCAGAATTGCTAAACCAATTATACTTGATTAAATGGTTCAGTTTGCCCCCAACTTTCTTGAAGGAATTTAATGAAAAAAAATTATATATATATATATATATATATATAAATTTTATATATATATAAAAATTGTATATGTATACTGTACATATAAATTATATATATATATATAATTAATTAATTAATTTATATATACACACATATATATATTTATACACAGGGATGTTTTATCATTAATTAATTATAATAAAATAACAAGGTGGCACAATAGGTCAGTGGGTAACGCTGTCACCTCACACCTTTAAGGTTGTAGGTCTGAATCGGCCTCCAACTCATTATATAAAGTTTACTTATTCTTATTTTGTGCATTTTTCTCTTAGGGGAAATAATTATAATACCACCCTTAATGTATGACCTTGTTTTCTCTGTATGGGTCCTGCAATGAAATGGAATCCCATTCACCCTGTTTCTCTCCTTAATTTCCAGTTACTAAGATGAACAGAATAGTAATTAATAGTTTCATTCCAGAAACCTAAAATTATTCCATATCAACATCTATATGTAAAGTAACTAATTTTGACTGACTAGGCAATATCTGCCAACACTCCCAGTGTCTCTGGATTTCTCCCAATTTTCCATATATGCACTTCAATGACCCCCTCCCCCCCATGATAAAGAGAAATCTAACCTAATGTTGCCAGGTATTATGGTTACATATCCATTAACCATTGAACCACCTGTAGCCATTAGAAATGACGAATGAAAAGTTACAGTGAAATTAATTACTTATTGACATTAACTAACCATATGGATCTAATTATGGCACAAATAGACCAATTATACATTTAAAATAAAAACAACGATATATACAAAAGATAGGATCTTCAAAAGGGTGCGTGAACTTGATATGCTGACCTGTGTATGTGGTACATTTTGTGAGTGTACTGGCCCTTCTCGCCATCGTTTTCATACGGTTCATTTCGGAGAACTTCAATGCCCTCCCCGCCTCCTGTGTTGTTCTTACTGGCCTCAGCAACAGAGAACAATTGACCGATCTGGTACTTAGAAAAGAACAAGTTGATAGACAGATTAGCTCAAAGGAAATTGAAACGGACAAACTAGGATAAAGCAATGCAACTGCAATGAAACGGATCAATGTAACATACACTGGACATTAAACGAGTGCAACTGAAAACTGGCACCCAGCCAATTACAAATGAGTAGCTACTTAGCATCATTATTTACCTCTTCGACAGAGCACGGCAGCACTACTTGGCTGTGGAAAAGACAAAAGCCTTACATCAATTTGTGACTGTGCACTACGGAAAGTCAACAATACGTTACACTACTGGATACCGGCTCCTAACTTTACAACAATATACTAAGAAGGATTAAAAATAAAATACAAATCTAAATACAGTATACAAATGCAGCGGGCTATCCTGTGATTAACATAATGGCGTAAACAGCTGCAATGAGCAGCTAGCTGGAAAAAGAATATTATGAGCTAGATTTACAGCCCATAAACAAAGCGCCTGTTAAATTCTATTAAATTCTCCATCAATTCTCATTTTTGCTATTGTTTTAAATCCTTGTCGTTTTCATTGATAAATGTATACCTAGCACGAAAGAGGAATTTCAATCAATACTCACTATTCTTTAATAAGTACCATACCGAATCCGGCCAATGGCTACATTCAACAACAGGATCTGTTCGCCGGAAATATGAGCGGCACGTTATTACACGTCATGGACAGGCCTGCGAGAAGGCTGCCTGGCGCGTTTGGTCAAACAGAGTGACCATCCATCTTGCGAAGGAGTGAACGATGCGGCTCCACCCGACCGCCTCTTCCGTTAAGGAGGACAATAAATAAATAAATAAACGAACGAACGAACAAACAAACAAACAAACAAACAATCGATTAGGGTGTAAGCGGAGGCCCGCTAAAAGCGGCTACCAAACATGAACCAATCAAAGCGGCCGCTACGCGTAAACCGGTATGACGTCACATAATAGCTCTTTAACTACCAATCGGAAACACTCAACACAGGAAGTACTTTGTAACAAGGTTAAACAGGTGTGTTTCTTGTCGCAGAAGTTCAACTGAAGTGTAGCATGTAAGTGTTTCTGTAGACTTCTTCCCTTTTTCTTCGTTTACTAACTTTATGGGTGTGTTATTTCATCATGTCTCGCAGGAACGACCCCATCGTAGTGTAATTTGATGGTGTATCGTATTTCAAATTGGTATCTTAAACTGTAGTTGAATTGCTTTTCTTTGGCTGTTTGAACTAGCAATACATTTCTCTTCTTAAATGATATTTCACTTACTGTGTACAAGACGGGACCAGTGATTTAGATAGTATCGCCTCTAGGTAATAATTCTTAGCATGGTTTTGAACTTGAACTTAACCATGCAGTTATTCTCCTGTCGTGAACCGAATCAAAGAGAAGTATCACTATTGCAAATTCTTTCGCTGTTTTATTCCTCTGAATGAGAGAAATTAAATTCTGTAACATTGCAGGCATTTTTCCAACATCCCTATTGGCAAAGTTTTGCTTTTAGCCAGCTTGTGATATTTTTAGCATGAACCTCATTAAGTAACAAAACTATCAGTCATATTAAAATATAAAACCAGATCCTACATTAATGTTCCATTTTAGTTGATGGTATTTGATGGGGGATATAATGTCCTCGTAGTGTGCTTTGTGTGATTAATTAGAAAACTGTCAACCAAGTGTTTGTCTGGCCTTTTGGTTTAATGCCAGGCTTTTCTCTTTTATGCTGTACACAGGAATCCAAACAGATGCCTGGTGGATGGTTTAAAGCCTCTATGAGACTGTTTCGACTGGCACACAGACTGGCCAACGCCACTCTTTGGTCATTCCCGCATAATCCCTTATTCTTTCGTACACTATCAGTTTCTCCCACTGTTTTCTTACCCCAGCCTTTCTCTTTATTCCCATTATTGTATTCAAAATATTGTACATCTTTCACACACAATTCTAGTTTTAAATCTTGTCGTTGCTCTCTTTGTTTAGTGCTATTTCCTGATTTCTTTTCAGTATCGTCTGCCTTCTGTCACACTATTCAGTCCCCTATAACTATGACTTTATCTGATGTCTTGGGAGTGCTGGAGCAGCTAGCTCCATTGTCGTTAGCTGAACCATGGGACAATGTTGGCCTCTTGGTCGAACCCAGTAGACCTCATCCAATCCAAACCATTTTGTTGACTAATGACCTGACAATGGCCGTCATGGAGGAGGCGGTAGACATGAGCTGTGACCTCATTATTTCATACCACCCCCCACTGTTTCGACCATTTAAACGATTAGTTCAGAAGGACTGGAAGCAACAGTTAGCCATTCGGGCACTTGAAGCAGGAATTGCAGTCTACTCTCCCCACACTTCATTGGATAGCGTGAAAGGTGGAATCAACGACTGGCTGATTGGAGGAGTGGGTAAGAAAAAGACACACACATGCAGTAGATACAGTAACCAAAAATTTTGCTTTCTGGGAAGTTTCTCCTAGAGATATGCTGAGTGCTGCAAGTATCTGGTACCTCTTCTCTAAATGTGTTTAAAAATGAAGTATTCAAGTACGTGTGTCATAAGAACATAAGAAATTTACAAACGAGAGGAGGCCATTCGGCCCATCAAGCTCGTTTGGGGAGAACTTAACTAATAGCTCAGAGTTGTTAAAATCTTATCTAGCTCTGATTTAAAGGAACCCATGGTTTTAGCTTCCGCTACACTAGCAGGAAGACTATTCCATACTCTAACTACACGCTGTGTCAAGAAGTGCTTTCTCAAATTTGTTTTAAAATGTTCTCCCGTTCAAAATGTTTCCACTTATGGCCACGAGTGTCGCATAAATGTTATCAAATTTGCAGAGTTGAAAAAAGCAGCATATGATATAATGAATTCTATTTCATCCTTGTAATAATTAGAAATACTAGAAATTAGACACAATAGTCTGGGCCAATCCAGTTTAAGAGCTGTATCGCAATTTAGAAGTCATGCTTGTACATATAAAACTTTTACCTCTTTACCTACCATGTTCTGTGGTGCTGGTTACTTGCACCTTTGTGTACTATATAAGAACTATACAAACGAGAGGAGGCTATTCGGCCCATCGAGCTCGCTTGGGGATTCGGCCCATCGAGCTCGCTTGGGGAGAACTTAACTAATAGCTCAGAGTTGTTAAAATCTTATCTAGCTCTGATTTAAAGGAACCCAAGGATTCAGCTTGCACTACGTTGTCAGGAAGACTATTCCATACTCTGACTACACGCTGTGTAAAGAAGTGCTTCCTTAAATCCAGTTTGAAATGTTCTCCCGCTAATTTCCACCTATGGCCACGAGTTCTTGTATTTGAACTAATGCTGAAGTAACTATTCGGTTGAACAGCATCCAAACCTGTTAGAATCTTATAGACCTGGATCATGTCCCCCCTCAGTCTCCTTTTCTTGAGGCTGAACAGATTTGGCTCAAATAACCTTTCCTCGTATGACATTCCTCTAAGACCAGGAATCATTTTTGTGGCCCTATGCTGCAAAACTGAATATATATATTACTGGGTCCCATACCTTTCTTTGAATACTCTGAGTAGTCCCAAATATTTCACTTTTGGCACCCTTTCTCAACCATTTACAGACTATATTATTAGCTGTTGTAATCAGTGTGTCTGGTGGTGCAATATAATAAACATATGGAATGGTGGGGATGCTGAAGTCAAACCCATTCAACTTACTGTGTAGTATATGTGAACAGGACAAGGAAAATATCACATAACACCTTCTAATCTTATAATCACTGTTAATCTTCCTGGCACAATCTTATTAGCACTTGGTATACATGTACATGGGAGAGCTGTAAGCTGCATGGAAGGATGTCCTTTCCTTCAAAACATCCTTGAAAAGTGTGACACTGCACCTTAAAAATGGGCCAGTGTAGGTCTTAAAATGATGCATGACTTATCTCATTCTTAATACTAATTAGTTTGTCATTGGAAATGAGTGGTAAGCAGTCAATAAAAATACACCTGTGATTGTTTTTTTTTTTTTGAGAAGTAGTTAAGAACTGTATACGAAGAAGTGCATTCATTGGTATGTGTACTGTAGTTACTTTGAGAATGTTACTAAAAATACTACATTTCTTCCACATGAATAGTTGTTGGTACATGATAGATATCTACTTGTGTATATGTTTTCTGTAGTTATAGCAGTAAGATGTGTGAACTGAATGTTATTCTCCTCTGCTTTTATAGTGATGATGGGTGTTTCTTTTCCAGGTAGTGGCAGTGTGTCAGTCCTCCATCAGGCTGTCAGTAGTGCACCCGTCTGTCACAAGCTGGAATTTACTGTCAGAAACCATGAAGAACTAAACACAGTTCTAGCTGAATTAAAGGAACGAGAGGCAGGACGCACCTTTAAGTTCAATGCTGCCAGGTGCTTTTGTTTTCAATGCATTTTTTATAATGTAGATTATTTTAATATTCACTGTAATTGGTGTATATTGTTTCTTTTCTTCTATCATCATCCCCTTATTCTTTCTTCAGACCGGACAGTGACATGTACAGTGTGAGCATGTCCTGTATAGACTCAGAGCTGACTGGTGTTGTCCAAATTCTGTCAAAGCACTTATTGGCTTGTCAAAGTCTCAACATTCTTCCAGCCAGCAAGGTACACAAGTTCATTGCTGTGATTGTTACTCCACTTTTGAGTTGTCATGCAAACAGCATTGCTGTCTTATGTACACAGCAGGCTTCAGATGTAATTTGCACCTTTCATTTTTTTTTTTTAAGCCACCACTCCCTGGTTGCGGGCAGGGGAGACGGAGTATTTTGGATGAGCCTATTTCTGTGGCAGCAGCGGTCGATCGAGTCAAAGCTCACTTGGGATTGAGTCATGTGAGATTGGCTCTTGGTACCCAGCAAACACTTGGCAAGTTTTTCCAGGCAGCCTGCAGCAAGTGTGCGGTTGTTTTGTTGATATTTAAAATTTTACATACATGTTTGACATTTGGTAGAATTGCACAGAAGCTTCTAAAATGTCATTGTTTCTTACAGGACTTAGGTATTTTTGGGATCAGTTTAAATCAGTAGACTTCAGTATTATTCATTTTTTGTGATTTTAAAATTTGTGCCACCAGGAAATCATCAGTTACCCAACCAACAGTACTTGTGTAACTTAAAGACTTTGATCTGGCTTTATGCTATTACTTCATTCAAGATTGCAGTGTTGCATTCATAAGCTGTAATGAAGCTTTCTTCTAGTGTGATGTTCCTAAGCAACCAGCTAGCATCCAAAAGACCACCTCACACTCATTGACTATGTGCCCCTACCCTGTATACATGCATTTGTAAGACTGCATCATGCATTACACACTAATCACCAGAGCAGTATCTCCTCCCGTTACATTAGTTGAAGATTACTCTACTCTTACTTTTAATTATTTCTTAGAGTCTACAGTTAGCACTGTGGCGGTTTGCGCTGGATCAGGAAGCTCAGTTCTGCAAGGAGTAAAGGCAGATCTCTGCATAACAGGTAGCTATAAATTATCAAAGCTTATCTGCTCAATTTCAGAGCTACAGTCACAATTTGACATTGTTTTATAATGTATATGCATGTTATATGCAGTTTATGAATCTACATCTACAATAGTCTGACTCGTCTATATTTCTTACTCATAGGGGAGATGTCACATCACGAGGTCCTGGATACTGTTGCTGCAGGAACAAGCGTGATCCTCTGTGACCATAGCAACAGCGAGCGTGGTTTTTTGTCTGTACTCAGGGAAAGGCTGGCAGTGCATTTGCCTGAATCCGTGTCAATTAGATTATCACAGAAAGACAGGGACCCTCTTGAAGTAGTCTAAGGAAATCATTGTCTCTAGTTATTCATGAGACTTTAATGCAGACCACACAACTGATCTGAAATGTACTGCATGCCTCCAAATAAAAACAAGATTCATGTGAATAATCTTTTGTAGTGATATAATTAAACTCTGGTAGTAATCTTCAATCATAATTCTGGAATAGCTTTGAAAGTGCTACATGTTGTTACAACATATGGCACTATTTAATGATTTAAATGCCATACTACACTTCAATTTTTGGGTCTTGACAAATTTCATATAAAGTACATTACTGTAAAAACACCTAACAGTACTGTCATTTAAGGTTCCTGTATTTTTGGAATATTAATGTAGTTACTAAATAACCATTTCACAGCATGCCTTTGTTTGGCATGAACACATCAGATACTTAAGAACAAGCTCTACTACTTGCTGCACCCAGTATCCCCAGTAGTAAAAGTGTTAGCGCAGGGAGGTAATACAGTTTAAATAGGAAACAAATTCAATCATATGTGGAAATATATCATGGGAAAGGCTATGTGTTCAAACCATATAAGCCTGGCAAAATTCAAGTTTCCCAGTAATATTTTATGAAAGATAATGTTCAGTAGGCAGTAGCTACAGAAAGAGATCAGTAATTATAGCAACTTTTATTAAACCGAGCATTAAAGCAGTTTCACAAATCACTAATAAATGATAGTTTAAAAAAACACTTGTACATACAAAGTAATTCATGGATTCATGATACATATTACACTATGCTCAAATAGTGTCCTTGCAAAACTTTCACATATACATATATCCACATACACATACATATATACATACATATATACACACAACACAACTAATACAAAGTGCATAAAGTGACTAAAAAAATCTGTACTTGATTGTTCACCTAAAATACACCTTGGAAATCTGCCATGTAATCACATGTAATCCATAGCACTATCCGAACCTGACAAATTACACTAATACCTTTGATTTCATGTGATAAAGCATACAAACTAATGGGGATCTCAAGTCTGAAAAATGCATCACTCCATTTGCTACAAAAGATTATTATATACTGATGCTGTTGCAACCATCCCGCAGCATTTTTTTCCTTGTCCAACCCTCATCTCCCAAATAGCAGTAGGAAGGATAATTAATTGGGGAGATATAAAAATCATCACATACAGTATGCAGCAATTTGAAAAGCAGCTAGGTGGTAAGACACAAGCAGAGAACTTAGAGTGGCTCAATCACAGGTGACTGAATCAGTTGACCATTTGTAGACAGCTATTCACTAGTTATAATTCAGTGACTGCAAATGTGTGAATGTCCTCGTCTCAACCCGGCAGTCTGAGCACATAAAAGGTTCAGATGCTAAGCTCAGTCCCAGCCATTGTCTTTGATCATGTGGGATACCTCAATGATAAACTTTCCCTCTTTGTACTTTTGGCTTGACTCAAATGCCTGTTCCTGTGGGGGAAGAAAAAACAAGAAAATCAGGGAATCCATGGAATTGGCAATACTACTGCAGAACCCGCAGACTAAACACAGAACTGCAGTTGAATATACAGAATGGCTTCTCCAACTCTATACCGTGTTAGTGAGATGGAGTAATACTGTACTGCTTTCTTACATATTTCCAGCCTAGTGTTGTATGACATCTCTCACAGTAGATGTCTGCCACGGCATGGAGACCCGTCAGAAGGACTCTCTCTTCTGCAGGACCACATGCTACGTTCACCCTGAAAAGAGCCCACATACCGCCATGCAGCCTTAACCACCACTGTACCAGCCCAGCTCTCTGTGTCCAGCACTGCTGTTTTAAAACTGTGTTTTCATGAAATAACAACACGCAGAAAAAATGCATTCGCATAGAGAGGAAAAGTAAAGTGGAAACTCACACTGAATTGAAGAGGTACGCTCGTCCTTGACTGCCCTGAAAAGACTGAGATGCAAAGATAATGGTCACGTTAATACCAAGAAATGCATTAAGAAAAAGCAACAGTATAACAATCATGTACAATAAAATCACTAATTGATAATCAAATTACATACAGCTGCAATACATTTTAAATGTTCATTCCTTTCATTGTTGAATAAAACAATAGTAATAGAAATCGCAACTGCAAAGTGTATAAAATTCCTGTAAGCGATAGATTTTGTTCACTGGAATAAGGTGCACATTGCTTCCGCTGCCTTGCTAATGTTTACCTTGGAAATGAGGTCATCGTGGTTGGCCAAATGAGCACGACAGTGCACACAGGCATACCTACGATGGCATGAATCCAAGTATGCCTGGAAGGTCTTTGCCTTGGTCAGTTTCACCATGTCTGAAACAGAACCATCATAGAATGAAGCATTAACAAATAAGGACAGAATGTAAATACAGTATAACTGAAAACCCACAAGAAAATAAAGTCTACAAAAGTGCGCTAACGTGCAGGTCAACCCCCCCTCCCCCCGGGTGACACAAACACGGAAACGCCGAAAGAAAAAAACAATAATACAACAAACACAGGAGATAGAGTCAGACTTGCGATAAGTTCATAAAGCCCTTCCTATCAAGTAGCATGCTTTAAATACCAACTTATCTGTTTTTCTGGAGACTATCTGCTGTTCTATTTTTGAGAGCTTAATTCTATTGAACATGTTGACAAGGCAAAAATGCAGCCGTTAAAACAGAAAACCCAGCAGAGTTGCAATCAAATACAGATACTACAGTGTGACTGCAGCAACAGCAAAACATAACCTTTGTACCAAAATTCCACACGGCCGCATGATTCCAGCTCGCCTTAAACAATTAACTGCCCATGTAATAACATTATAAGTAAAACATACTTGGAAATTCAGCAACTTACCTAAAACCTGAGCTTTAACAGACAGGACACGAATCTGTTTATTCCACCGTTAACTCCGAGTTACGTTTGTTTTGGCTTTCTTCTATATTAGACTTACTTCAGTCAACATAATTGATAAAACGGTATACGGAAGTGTAACATTATTTCATAGCTTCGTTCCTATTAAAATAATAACGAATTAGCTACCTATATACAAGTAGGTTTAACCAACAACGTAAGCTTATAATTTATTAATGTACATAGTTATTCAGCTGTAAAAACAGAATAAGAAACTTGCTAACTTTAGTAGTTTAAGTAACTAGCTATTTTAAAATCGGCTTTTATCGTTTTACTTCTCACTATATCCAAGTACGTGAGACCGCCTTTCAGGGTATAATTTTAAATATCTAAAATTGAGCAGAGAAAAAATATAATCAACGTACTTGCAGAGCTAGCGAAACCAAAACATGACACCACCGCAGAGCGCTGGTTTGTTTACAACATGAATTCAGGCTGAACTCCTAAACGCAATTACGTCACGCAAACGGTCAGTGGACCAATCAGCATTTTCAACGAAGGAGCGTGTATGAAAGGTGAACAATCAGAACACGTTTTACATTTTCAACTCTATACTGCTCGCTCACTGTATGATACGAAAACTGGGAATGGTTTAAATGGTTTTGAACCGCACTGGCGGGTTAATAGTATCGTCACGTATAATTGTATAATATAAGAATTGACTGATTATATTCAATGGAAAAAAGCATGGGATATCCAAAATAAGTACGACTTATGTGGGATCGAATGGGAAAATATTATGCATGTTTTTCCGATGTATTTATTTATTTAGATAGATGTATTCAGAGTATCCAACGGAAACCAGTGCTGGCTGAGGGAGAGCATGCAAATTCTATACAGATTGAACAGATACCTAAAATCATGAAAAGAGCCATGCTACCAGGGCTCTTTTATCACGGGGCCCCCAATGCAGAAAGCACAAGAGCTTTGGAGAGGACACTTACTGTTGTCCAGAAGTACAAATTCAACATGTGTGCGAAATGCACATACCTACACTCAAAGATAGTTCACATTATGCTCAAAGGTTTATGATCTGGGGAAGGTAAAACTGCAGGAAACTCATTCCCAGGGGCACAAAAGGCAACAGGCCAGTGTAGTAAAGCATATGCAGCTAGAGACCTCTGCTTAACGTGAACAGATAGGGCATCACAGAATTCTGGGCATCCATGGAACAGGGGATATGTATGGAGAAGTGAAATAAGAACATAAGAAATTTGCAAACGAGAGGGGGCCATTCTGCCCATCAAGCTCGTTTGGGGATCACTTAACTAATAGGCCAGAGTTGTTAAAATCTTATCTAGCTCTGATTTAAAGGAACTCAAGGGTTTAGCTTCCGCTACACTAGCAGGAAGACTATTCCATACTCTAACTACATGCTGTGTAAAGAAGTGCTTCCTCAAATTTGTTTTAAAATGTTCTCCCACTAATTTCCACTTATGGCCACCAGTTCTAGTATTTAAACTAATATTGAAATAGCCATTTGGCTGAACAGCATCCAGACCCGTTAGAATCTTATAGACCTGGATCATGTCCCCCCTTAGTCTCCTTTGCTCAAGGCTAAACAGATTCAGTTTCGCTAACCTCTCTT